ATTAGCAAAGAAATACGAGTTACAAAGAAATCTTTCTCTCTCTCTCTCTCTCTCTCTCTCTCTCTCTCACACACACACACACACACACACACACTCACCCAAAATTAAAAACTTCATGATGGACAATATACTAAAATAGAGATGACAGAAGACAAAAATCAGTGAAATTAAAAGAAAAATCAGTACAATTTACCGAGTCTAACAGCAGAGAGAGATACAGACTGAAGAAAGCATAAACAAATCCTCAGAGATCTGCGTAACAATTTACAAAATTTTGTATTTGTAACTCAAGTCTCAGGAGAGGAGAATGGGGTTAAACGAGTGTTTATATAACGGCTACAACTTCTAAAACTTGACAAAAGACACAGACATACAGGTTCAAGAAGGTGAATGAACCCAAACCTTATAAATTCCAAGAAAATAACATAAACACACCATAATTAAATGTTGACAAAGATAAAAATAATTAAATCAGCCAGAGAGAAAACACACATTTGATATAAGGAAATATTACATTAAGTGAAAATATGCATCCCATCTGAAACCATGTAGTCCAGAAGAAAGTGTCACAATCAACTGATAATGGTACTTGAAAATCTATTAAAACTGTGCAATAATTAGAAATTTACTATAGTAAAAATGTCAAAATTCTCAAACTGATCTGTAAGCTAAACAAATCCCAGCATATTTTATGTGGACTCAGAAAGCTGGTTCTAAAACTTATATGGAGAAATTAAGCTAACTAATATAATCTTGAAAAAATAAAGTGTGAAGAATTATTCTACTGGATTTTAAGAAACACTATGTATTACAGTGACAGTAATTAAAGTGGCATGATGTTTGTGAGAAGTAATGAATCATAGAACAATGGAACAAAGTACAAAACTCAAAAATAAATCACAAACATGCTCAACTCCATGTGTGTGTGAGTGTGTGTGTGTGTGTGTGTGTGTGTGTGTGTGTGTAGTGCTGCTAGGGATGGATTCCAAGGCCTCCTATATATTAAGCAAGGGCTCTACCACTGAATGACACTCCCAGGCCATTAACTGATAGTCTTTCCAAAGTTTTACAATCAATTCAATAGAGAAAGTTAGCCTATTCAACAAATGAGACTGAAGCAATTGAAAATCTATAGGGGATAAAAATAACCTTGACATAAAATTCACATTTCATAAAACATAGTAAAAATATATCATCTATCCAAATATAAAACTTAAAAATAAAAAATAGAAAATCTTCAGGATAGAGGCTTGGGCATAGTTCTTAGAACTGACACTAGAAGTATAAACTATTAAAGAAAAATTGACAAATTGGAATCAATAAAATTTTAAAAAGAAAAAAACTTTTTCTTTATAAAATATGCTGTAAATCAAAAGTCAAATCATAGTCTAGGCTAAAAGATTTCCAAATATATATCTACCAGAAGACTGGTATCTAGAATCGAAGAAGTTGCAAATTTAATATAAAAAATTAAAAACAAGCAAAACACATTAGCAAATGCTTCAGCAAAGAGACTATTCAGATGGCAGAGAAGTACATAAAAATATGCAACATTATTAGTTACCAGGGAAATGCAAGTTAAAACCGCAATGAGATTGCATTATATATGTCAAAATGGCTAAAATTTTAAAATAGTGACTGCAACAAATACTGGCAAGAATGTAAAAAAGGTGGATTACTCATACACTGTCCACTGGAGTACAAAAATGGTACAGCTGTTCTAAGAAACAACTTGGAATTTTCTACGAAACATGCAATTACCATATGACCCAGCAATTGTACTCATGGGTATTTCTCCAAGAGAAATAAAACTTTATGTTCATATAAAACTTGTATGAGGATATGAAGGCAGCTTATTTGCAACAGCTAAAAGCTGAAATCTGCCCCTTTGCTCTCTAATAGATCAATGGTTAAACTATGGTATACACATATAATACTGCTAAGCAATACAAAAGAACAAAATATTAGTATATTCAACAACATGGTTGACTCTCCAGGGAGTTTTCTGAGTGGGAAAAACATCCAACTCTTAATAGTTATATGCCCATGTGATTTAATTTATATAATATATTTGGAGTGACAAGTTATAGAAGACAGATTGGAGATGGTGCCTGAGAAGCAGAAAGGAAATGCAGTTATAATAAAGCAGCAGGCTAGATTCTTTTGGCATAGGAATCCATTCAGTATTTTGACTGTGATACTGGGTACACAAACCTACATAGGTGATACAACTGTATAGAACTTGGAGAACTTAGTGATAGACAGCCACACACACACACACACACAAAGACAAGAGGGAGGGAGAGGGAGAGGGGGAGAGAGCAGGGGGGCGGGGGGAGGAGGGGGGAGAGTGAGAGAGAGAGGGAGAGGGAGAGGGAGACATCAGGTGAAGTTGTGGCAGTTTTAATAAGATAGGTAGATTGTACCAAACTCCACTTCCTAGTTATGGTATTATCCAAGAGTTTTGCAAAATATTATTGGGGCAAAGTGGGAATAATGCACAAGGAAACTATCTGCTTTAGTTCATATATCTGCACGTGAATTTTCAGTTATATCAATTAAAATTGAAATGGTATATAAACAATTACATACACACACACACACACACACACACACACACCTTCCTTCTGCTTTGCCAACCACACATAAAGGGTGAAGTGCTATATTATACTGCAACTCTGCTAAGAAATGCACCTCTGATGAGAGAAGGCATACATTACAGAAACGAGACAAAAATCTCTATTTTCAAGAGCAAAAGCATATTCAAACCTTCTCTGGATATTCAGCAGAAGCAAGAAAATCTGAGTGCTACAGTCATACCCATGTCAACGTGTACAAGGGACTAAAAAATCCTCTACTTAAATTTTAAAATGTAAATTAAATATTTGTAATAGGTTAATAGCTTTCTTATCATGTGTAAACTCTTGATTCCTATGCAGAATATGATGGTGTAATAAATCAGAATTCAGCAATATGAAGAACCAAAATATCTGCAGATCTAAATTTAGTTTATATAAAGAAAAAATGGGGAAATTATAAAAAGGCATGTGTCAAATACTATATAATAAGCAGAAAATATTCCAATATTAACTCTGTAGCCAGTGGATAAATACAGACAAAAGAATAACCTCTATAAAAATCACATTTTGCTGAGGGAAAAAAAGAGGATTATGAATGTACATATAAAACACTTTAACTTTAATAGGCAACTTTTACAATAAACAGAAATATACTTTTCCAGTACAAAAAGAAAAAATGAAACATTCATCTTGTCAAATGAATTTGTATTAAACTTAATTGCAAATTAGTGTCTCAGTTCATCTGAGTTCATCTGTTTAATACTCATTATAACTGTCCACATTTTTCAACCAATCTCAAAACAGAAGTTTTATTTTTAAGCCAAATATGTTTTAATTAAAATTTATTTAAGTGAATATGATGATACTGTATTTTAAAATTAAATGTGACTCTGTACTTTCAAAAATCCAATTAATAATATATTCCATTGGCCAGTGTGTTTAAAGATATTTAAATAAAAAGAGAATGAGGCTTCCATTTGTTACAAACACTATAGTTGTTTTAAAAAATATTAATTTAAGTTCAGCCATAAGGAAACTACAGATACAAGTCAGAGAAAGTATAGATTACTTTGACCTTTATTTTATTTGAACTGTTAAAGATGTCAGTATGAAACATGAAGGTTACATACCCAATTAGAGGAACTACTATTGTTTTATTTCCTACTACAATAAGTAGTTGGTCAAAAGTATCTTCATCTTTATCAGGATGATATTCCACCATAGCTGTTGTCTGAAGGCCACAAGTAAGTTCTTTATACAGATTGGTCAACATCAATTTGAACTTCAATGGAGAAAAAAAAAGAATCAAATTATGCATATGGGGGGTGTACTGGGAAATGAACCCCAGACATGCTAGGCAAATACTCTGCCACTGAGCTGTATCCCCAGCCTGAAAATTATACATCTTAACTACTTATAAGAAAGTAATGTGAGCAACCATATCCAGGAGTATACACTATTATCAAAATATATTTCTTAGGGCCAGGGATTTAGCTTAGTGGTTCCTCTGTTTCTTATTCATGCTTTAAAAGCAAACCATTTCTTAAATTTAAATTTTATGTTTAATTGACAAAAAAATTGTATATATTTATGGGCAGGTACAATGTAATATTCTAATACATGCATACATTGTGGAATAAGCAAGTAAAGCTAATTGACATATACATCACCTCACATATAATTTTTGTAGTAGGTACATGTTTAATTCTTTAATACTTTTAGAGTATACGCTACATTATTATTAACTATAATCATCTAGTTGTACAACAGATTACTAGAATTTGTTCCTGAACGTGTGCATGGATGTGTGTGTGTATATATACAGTACGTAGCATGTAGTAGTTTATATATTTTCTGCATGGGTATGTGCGATTCATAACTTGGAGGGACTATAAACAAGGAATAGATCAAAGAAGAAAAGCAATTTTGTTCTAGAAAAACGTTTGCTAACTCCAGAAAAATGTGAAAGTAGAAAGAAGAAAACTGATCTCTGCTGAAGATTTACAATGTATCAAGCATTCTTCATCTATTATTTAATTTAATGCACTTCTAATGTTTTGTGAGGTTGATACTAAGACTTTCAGCATGTACACGAAGAAACTGGGATCTGTAGAGAATAACAGATAAACCCACTCAGGTGATGAGGATTCAAAAAATATGTATTTATTTCACTGTAAAGCTTAGTCTTTCTCCTTCATCCTGGATCAGTAACAATCTTGGCCTATGATCAGTTAGAGTTCATATTGAAGTTAATTATTCAAGGATCCTAATGCCAACTGCTTTGCATGCTACTTTTAGCATGTTATGAGTTGACCATTTAGGCAAAATTAATATTTAGCAATAATCCTTGAGACACAAGTCTAAAATACAAGGAAGGTCAGTAAACACAATAGGTATAGAATAACGTAGAAATAATTGCTTGTTATATGATAAGATTTCTTAGGAAAAAAAGGACCTCTCATTAGTCTTAAGAGGCAAATGAGATTTGGGGACGAGGTGATTCCTACAGATAGGTGCATTAAAAATGTGAGTCAAAAGTAAAATCTGAGTGAGGGCAATATAACTCATATAAGTCTGGCTTGACCATACGGGAAGCCACACAAATCAGCAAAACACAATTAGATGGATAATGTCAGTAAGTTTGAAGTATGATATTTAAAATTAAGCACAGAACTATCAAATTTATGCTCCTTGAAGCTAAGAACTACATCTTTTTATTTTTCTACCAGCAACCCCAAATAGATGATAAATGTCACTGTATATGGTACATAATGGGTACACAATACATATGGTCAATGCTATGGTAGAAAATAACCACAGTCATGTGCCACACAATGAGGTTTTAGTGAATGATAGTTCACATATATGAGGATGATCCCATATGATTATATTGCTTAATAATGTAGCCATGTTATTTTACAGAAAGATATTCTATGATGAATGTATCTTCATTCTCAAGCAATGTACGACTGTTGTGATGTATCTTAAAAGAATCATTTTCTAAGTAAATACAATAGTTATGATGCAAATGCCCTTTATATAGCACCTTGTTTTTAATTTCCTTATTTGCCCCAAGACAGTTGTTTCATCTTTTTTTATTGACCTCTCCCCCCCCATATATATATTAATCTGTGTGTATTCATTGTGATTTACCATGGAAATATCTTCTGAAATTTTTCAGCTATTTATCATTTACATATCAAAACATCACATTTTCTAGATCAAAAGTCTTGTGAACTAGTAGCCATACATTCACACCCATGATCTAAAATGCGAGACAGATGAAATTCCATCCACTTTGAAATTAGAAAGTAGGGAAATTCTCTAAGAACATTAATTTTGATGATGTTTAGACCTGTACAAAAATTCCTGCACTAGTTTCTAAATCCTATGAGAGCAACGCATTATCCAACCAGTATTCCTTACACCTACTGCCTATTATATAGTAGGTGCTCAACAAATATTCGTTAAAATATGAAATAATAAAACTTTCCACAGCTTCGCAATTCTTGAATATATCAGGCACCCCATGATTCAAAGGGTAGTTTCATGGTGCTTAAGGCAACCACAGAATTAATCATGAAGCCAAGGCACAGAGATTTGGGATTGTTAAAAGTGAAAGTCCCGGAAAACCTTCCCTACTTTCCAAATCAGGATGTAAACAGGAAGAGGTTCTAGATAACTTTCCCTCACCCTACTCTCCCCACATCCCAATTTAAAGCAAAAGCGAAAATAAAATAAAACTTACACACATCCCTAAGTCACCAAAGCCCAGGAAGCCCACCCCACCCCCACACACACACCTCCTCAGGAACCCAAAATCTATTTCCTGAGGCAACGGGAGGTGTCCAGGGGAGGAAGTGTTTTCGGAGCCCCACTCTCCTGAGTCCTGTTTCCAGCACCCCTTGTTTGTCACCTGTGGCTTGGTCGGCTCCACAAACCGAATTTTCTTGTTCCGTCGACCAAGATTGTGTACAGTAATCGGGAGGCGGTATACTTTCCCCGCCAGTGCGTCAAAGAATTTCATCTCTGACGGGGTCACTCGTAGCTGAACTTCCGTCTTGGGGCTCTCTGCGACGAAGGAACCCCTCGGGGTGCCCATGGCCGCGCTCCTTATAGCCAGCAAATTGTTGCAGATTTAACTCAGCCAGGACCAGTTCTGACTAGTTTTGCCGGTCGACTATTGCTAGGCAACGGTCCGACGCCGCGCTTCTGCGCTCGCTGCGCAGGCGCGCTGCCCTGCCTCTAGCGGCGCGAATTGGCAACTAGTACAGAAGCAGCGAGTGCCTACCGGTAGAACCTTGGGCTCGCAGATTATCACCAGAGTAACAGGAAAACATGTTATAGCAGGCCCAAACCCAGAAGCAGTTTACTTTGCCATAGTCTCACAGGGCTTTCAGATAGTATTTGATGTGGTGGGCAGTTTCCTCTCTTCAGACTAAGCTTAAAGATCAGTGAAAGTGATGTGCCTACAGGGTCCATTAAGGCAGCAAGATTTGAAAGAAACAGAGCATTTGAGAGGAAACAGGATCACCAAAGGTCCTAATCAGTGACCACTGGCAAAGAATTTCTCAATAGTGTCGTTTACAATACTAAAATATTAAATTAAAATGAAAACCTATCAACAGGGTAGATAAAGTAACTTACTATCTATAATGGATAATAATGTGTATCTATGTGTATTAACACAGAAAGATCCCCATTACACAATATTAAATTTTAAAAAGTGGCCAAAAGTTATGCATATTGTGATGTCCATTTCTTTTCAAACACACATAAAAACAATATAAAGGTTATACTCTGGTCTTTTGTTAAAATGCAGATTCTGTTTCAGTATATTCTAGAGCAGAGCCTAAGAATCTGTACTTATAGTAAGTTCCCAGGTGATTCTAATGTTCTTGGCCAGGGACCATACACTGAGTATAAAGACTTTAGGAACTTTGTTAACTACCCGAGGTGTACGCTTCTTCATTTAGGAAATAAACATGCTTCTCAGGATCAAACATCTTCGTTGCTAGATGAAGACTTTTCCAATAGCTGAACTTCACACTGCCCAGTTTCTTCTCTCTCCTGATCCTTCCTTTACTATGATCTCAGAATTTCAAACCATACCAGGTGCTTTCATTCTCTTTCCTACTATGTGTGATGTTCACTCTGAAAGGAATGTCCTCTTCATCTGCCAGCCAAAGAGTTATCCTCCAAGACCTAAATATCTTCTTAAAACCTTGCTCATAACAGTGTCACAAGATTCTCCTGGTACCCAGATAATAAATAAGCCATGACTTCACTTTCCATAAGGAGAAGGAGATTAGTAAGCAGCTCTAAATATGGTATAAAGGCAAGTGATAAAATTTGTTGGGATTGTTGTTGTCGATATTTGAAAATATCATTAGAAGTTGCAGTGAGGATCATAACTTGCAAATTCATATGAAATGATAGATTAAAAAGATCCGTATCATCTTTCAAAATAGTGTCTCAGTTTAACAAGTGGGATATGAGAATCACTGCTGGATTTGTGTCATACAACAATTCAAACCCTGACTTTACCCCCAAGTCTCAAAGCAGGACAATTTATAGTATTAAAAAGATAACAATGGTTCACAGAATCTGACCAAATCATGACCACAGTCCTTACACAGCTCGCTAATTACTCTCTGAAAAAAAATTGGAAACTCCAAAGAAGTCTCAAAATTCTCTTTGGCCCACTCTTAGGGTATATGGCCCCAAGTCTTGACTTCTGTGTAAAAGCTAAAGCAGTTTTGTTTTCTATTTTGTTGGTGTTCTCATTAGCTAAGGAAGGATGTCACATAGATCTCCAAATTTAAAAATCCTAAAGTTTAATCTATTGCCCTTAGTTAAATCTTGATTTTTATCTACTCTTTTACTAACACAAATTTTAAATGAAGTATTCTAATATCTGTATTAAATACTTATCTCCAAATTCTCTTGTCTAATTTCTATTATCAAATAGTGGCTATAGAAAGGCTTTTTATTAATGGATATAAAAAGGCTTTTTATTAAAGGATATGACACTTTTAGCTAAATTTTTTAACCATGTCTGATAATGCAATTACTTTAAGATTGGGTAAACAACATATATTGGCAAGAAATTTTATATCATAGTAATGCAAAACAGAAATGGGGGCAGAGCAAAATGGTGACTAAGAACACACCAATTTGAACAACTATTCACACACTGAACCAGCATCATGGCAACTAAAGAAGCCAAGTGAGATATTATAGAGCCCAGGTTTAGTATTATAATAATAAGGTAAGATGCACTGAAGATGGCAGGAAGGAAACAGTTGCCTGGTGACCCCTCTTCCAAATCCAAGAAGCGTGGAGAGAGATGCCTCTCATTTTGGAGAGGAAGAAAGAATTAAGTCCACATCTTAGACTTGAAACCCTGAAGCAGGTCCACTGGGGAGAAACCCAGTAGAGTCCAGTTCCAAAACCTCTGCCCCCACGCCAGTACCTGTGAACTAAGCTGCTGGGACTATAGTGGCCAGGCAGCTCGGTGACTGCCTCCACTACCCATCTCAGAAACTTGAGCATCAGAGTAGGGACCAATACATTCCACCTCTGGGGTACAGGGCATGAAAGCTACTACAGAACTTTACTGGGGAGCTCAGTATTGAGCTCATTGCAATTAAGATCCACCACCAGACAGAAACCAAAGCTCACTGATGGAACCTCTAGTCTTGTCCCGGCATTAAGCAGAGATATGTTGCCATATATATGGTGGCTATAGGAGAGAAGATCCCAGGAATACTGAATCAATAGCATGCTTTATGAGTTTCAATGTGTTCCGAAGTAATTTACACAATTAGGACTCTTGGAATAAAAAGGAAGGTATAGAAATAAGTGTTAAACACATGGAAGCAAACTAAAAACAAAAATGTTAATTACTTGGGAAACGGAAAACTATTGCCGCCCCCACAAAAAAAGCAAAGTAAACTTTTGCTTGGTTTAAAAATGAATATCACAAAACTCACAATAGCTAAATCTTGGAAGTGGCCTGAATGCCTATTGAGGATGAATGGATAAAGAAAAGGCGGTATTTATGCACAATGAAGTATTATTCTGCCACAAAGAAAGAAAAATTTTAGTCATTTTAGGAAAATGGATGCACTTTGAGACCATAATACTAAGTGAAATAAATCAGACAGACAAGTTTAAATATTATGTGGTTTTTCTTATATGAGAAAGCCAAAGAAAAAATAAATTAAAGAACAAAATAAAAGATACATAATAGGAAACAGAGATAGAGCTTTTACAAATGGGAATGGGACCAAAGGATGGAGGGAGCAGGTAGGGAGGGGAAAGTTAGGGGACAAAAAAACAATTAAGATGTGTTATATACGTGTACCAAGTCCCCACAATGAATATAAACATTATGTAATGCAAACATGTACTAATAAACATACAAATAAAAATTAATATCATTTCTCAGATATATTAATGTACAAGCAGAATGTCATTCCAAACACAATTAAGTTATAACTATATTCGGAAGTTGGTGAGGTGGAAGGTGTGTATTTGTGATGGTGAGATACATGGTGAAAGAATACTAAATTGTCCTCTTCTAAAGTAAAAAGTAATGATAGCATCAAATGATCATGAAGATATACAGCAAATAGGTGAGACATAAATCTCTGATGATAATGTATAATTTTACAATCACTCTGAAAGACAGTTTTGTGTTTTCTTATTAAACTAAACATTTAATTACCATACAACTCATCAGTTGTGGTCATGGACATTTATATTAGAGAAACCCAAACTAATTTGCACGCAAAACTTGAATGTTACCAACAGCACCTTTATTTGTAATATCCAAAACCTAGAAAAAGTCCAGTACCCTTCAACAAATGAGTAAATAATGTATGATACGATGATGCATAAAATACTACGCAGAAATGAGGTAGTAGAGAATTGGGTGTCATTTATGAAAGTGAAAGATAAAAGGTTCTCTTTTTGAAGAGGGTGCTATGGATACGTCAACCTACAAAGGTGATAAAATGGTATAGCACTAAATACACACATGTACAAATATAGACACACACAAATGAGTACTAGTAAAACTGACAATCTCAATAATGTATGGATTTTATTTCAATGTCAAAATCCTGTTACAATATTATATTGTAGTTTTGTGAAATATGACCATTAAGAGAAACTTGGAATTACTGGTGTTTTATGGCCCTAGGGATTTAAAATTGGAAATTTTCTTACATGTGAATCTATAATCATATTGATAAAAAATTTTAATCAAAATAAAGTTTAAGTAAATAAAATTCAGATACTTAAGACTTCTATGCTATTCTTTATTCCTAAAACTCTTAGATACTCTTGGGATATTTGAGGAAATCATACATGAGGTCTGAAACCAAAATGAAATTTAAAAACCTCATTGTGGTTTTCACAGTACTCTTGATGGAAAGTGTAGAATTGTGCTCAAAATTCTGAAACATTCTACTTTTGTTGTGCATTTTATTTTATTTCATTTTATTTATTTTTTTGGTACCAGGGATCGAACTCAGAACCTTGCGCTTGCGAGGCAGGCCACAGCACCACTGAGCTCAATCCCTGGGTCTTGTTGTGGATTTTAAGAGACATCATGCATTATGCCTAGTGCAATTCAGCCAAACTTTGAGAAGAACATATAAAATCCTGCAGAGACAGCACACCCTGAGAGAATTCGTTCAATAAATTTGTGCCAGGCAGGCAGATTTTTCTGGTTCCTAGTCATTTCAAATGCCCTCCACTATATTTATAGGTACTCCTAAGATGTCTATTGTTTTCGGGTGGAAATGTAAATAGACAGCGGCTGCTATCTTGGTTTGCCTATATAGCAGGAAAGTGTGAAATCAGGAATAATAGCCTTGATCTATTTTTAGTTATAACTTGTCCTTTCTTATGCTATTTCAGGTTTTGGTATAATCAAATCTGCTAGTAGATAATTTCAACTGTATTTGATATCCTTGACCAGACTAGTTTGTTTATTGTAAGTTATTCAAGGGTGGGTCACTTATATGTGTTCCTGGCTAAAGTATGGAGTTGTGCTTCTGTACATAGTTGCCACTAGCCACATGTGGCTATTTAAATTAAAGTTTACATTGACTGAAATTTAATGAAATTTTGAAATGTAGCTCCTTTATCACAATA